ACTCTTTCAGACAGGCAAGAAACTTGGGGAACAGATTCAAAAATTTGGAGGACAATATTCACTCAGTTGGGCTTACACTGGGTGTTTAGAAGAGACACGTTCTCCAGAAAGTCTAACAAGGCCTTGTTTACATTCCAACAGGTAGATTAATGTTTTAAGGTTACCTTAAAAAAAAACAACTTTGATTGAGGCTGATATTCCATTTTTCAGCTGTTATTTTCCTTAAAAAAAATCCAAACATTTTTTCTCCAATAGCATGGCTGTGAATATGGCCTTTCCGTGATGCGTTGGTGCAAAAAGACACACATAACGGTGGTCTCTGTTTTTCCTTACTCCGCTGCTGAATTATGGAAAGACATCTTAGTAGTAAAAGGAACTGAAAGTAGAAAGGTGTCTAACTTTGACCAGTCTCTGAAAGAACCATGTCTTTACTTTCCCATTGCATTTTCACACTTGTTAAGGAGATGGCTGAGGTTACATAAGGCATATCTGGGCATGAATTGGAAATGATACTCATCATGTTTCAGTGTTCAACAGAATTTCCAGTGATTTCTAGTGAATGTTGCAGTGTGTTCCTATTTCTCATTTTAAAACAGGTTTCCAAAAGAGAGTTTAAAGCTGCTTTCTAAACAAAATAACTATATCAGATGAAAAAACCCAAAACCTAGAACCCAAAAAACCCACCAAAACTTAAGCAACTGTGTAATAGGAAACAAGGACCAATGCATTCTGAAAGGTCTAAATAGATTCTTCCAGTTTCTGTGAATGGTATGTAACAAAGACATATCTCTAGACTTCGAACCTGCAGATACAACTCCAAGAACTGCTGAGCTGTATATGTGGTGATGCTATTTGGAATGAATCAAGGACATGAGTCCTCTGCATCAAGGGACCTGAAGTTCCAGAAGAAATTGGGCAAGGAAACTGATGATTGTCAATCTTTTTTTTCTGTCTCTGACAGAAAACTGAAAATTGTGTCTTGGAGTTTGTTTTCCCATCAGTTCCAGGCATCTCTACTGCGCTGAAGATGTGTCTTGTGCCATCTCTGATGGGACTGTAGCTGTGCTAGACTAATTGCAAAGTCATGTAGCTCAAAAAAAGCCATTGGAACTTTGACAGGTGACACTATGTGATGTTAAGGCAAGGCTAAAATACAGAATAAATTTTACTCTGGCAAAAAGTTTGTTGCCTTAGTCTTAGAGTTTCTCACAACCAAGCTTTTATGAGACAAAATCTAGTTGACTGTCAAAAGAAGATCTTCAAAACCACAGGAAGACTATGTCATTGTTTTACTGTTTAGGTTTGCCTCTTTAAATTAAGAGAATTGTTGAGTTTATGCTGAGACTTAAGACTAAATATAAAGCTTTGCAGTGAATACTTCAAGGTCTGTGGCAGTTATGTAGGACAACGTTCTTCTCCCCAAGGTTTGGATATACATAATGTAGATATCTATACTGAAATTATTAACATAATGTCTCCAAAGGCAATGCAGAGAAAAATGCACTTTCAAGGCATAATTCTCACCTGCTTTGGATGAGGAAATGGCTCCCATTGTAAAACCCATGGGTAGGTACTGAACACATTTATTGATGTATATACTGACTAGCTTAAAGTTATGAGATATCTGCAGCGATCACACCTATTTCTACCTAAATTAATTCCATACCTACATTCACTGTATTGTTGACTAGGAGTAACAAGCACTTAATCTGTCCCTAAGGATGACCTTATCACACCCTAAGTTTCTCTATTGACTGCAAAGGGAATCTGGGCTGAGTTTGACATAAATTTCTGCCCTGTTGCCTTATAAAGTTTAGATTAGAGGAATCCCATCTCTCAGTGATGAATAAGAACAAAAAAATAAGCATGACTATTTCAAACAGAAGGATAAAGGACAAGCCATGAAGATACAGGGTGTCATTAGTAATTAAATGCCTGATATAGCTCAGGTTTAATAAATCAAAGCATCCTTTTTTATCAAAAGGATGCTGAACACAGTTAACATGTGACATTCAGGAAGCTCAGTAATCTCCCTGACTGATAAATGTCTTTTCCAAAAGCTTAATTACATCTGCAGGACCACTTCAGAAGACCTGAAGTTGCATCTAAACACAGGAATTGATTACAGCTTTTTAATTTTCCCATAGATAAATCACATCTTCAGACCAAGGTCTTGAAAAGCAGTGAAAGCTTACTGAGACTTTCATATTTTAACACCAAAAAAAGAGGTTTCATTATGTTTATTGGAAGTGCACGGAGTTTTTCTGGGGTAATGTTTAGGCTGAACTCTTATTGTCACTGACTAGGTGGAGGATTTCACCTTAGAGGACTGTCAGTCTTCCATCTCTCTGAAACACTGCAGTTACTTAATGTGAAATTTGTTTCTCTGCAAAGGCCCAATGTGAAGTCTATGCGGCATTAGGTTGTAGATTTAGTAGTGAACTACATATTTCAAACCCTCTGCTCTGAAATGCAGGACCTAGTTTTACCTAATTGTTCTTAGACTTCAAGCTTCTCAGTGTAGAATATGGACCTGCTGACTGTTCTCTATTTTTTTCTATCTGTTTTTGCACAAGGTCAGTCTGTTGACTGAATCTTTTCAGCATCTTCAGTGGTCTATTTCTTAAATACCTTGAGGAGATGTAAAACCACAGAAAAAACATTGTTATCATGTTTTAAATGTTTTTTAAATTTGTTTTGTTTTGTTTTTCTTTTGTCTAGCTAACATAA